TGCCGAGCGTGACTCTGGCCGGCGCTGCGGGTATTTCCACCCAAAACGATGTCCACGAAGAGATCACAAACAGAATCGACGGAATGTATATATCGAGTATAAAGTGTCCAAATTCTCGCCGCAGAGTGAAAGTGACCGTCAGTTTACAGAAGGTTCCCGTTTGGCTGTACAACGACTTTATGCTATTTAGTTTGTGATCAATTAGTGTGTATCCATTCCAACCGAACTCAGTGGACATCGCCAGTGGCTGCTCTTCAGCCCAATTCAGCCGTAGATAATTGTCAGATAATTCATCTATTTATTAAAGTGTGTTCATTATTGAGATATTTTGTAATATGTAAATATTTTGCTAATTTACGGTATCATTTGTACAGTAAAGTAAATTATACATTTAATAATGTTTCATAACTTTTTATAATTACTCACTCGACTCGATCTCAATATCGCATAATTGCTTATCTAACGGATAATATGTAAAATCCATTTGTGACAAACCATTTAATAATATCCTTTATAAAAATTTATATAAATTAAATTTTATTTAAAAAAATTACAATAAAAGTAGATAAAACCTTTTGCTGATCAAAACCTTGCCATCGGAGCGGATGTGCGCCAGAACTGGATTTGTATCCCCGGACCGAAGTATATCGGGCTGAGTATTGGTCGGTATGTGCAGAGATGGTGTCCATATCCTGTCCATATGCCAGTGTCCGCCCTCTAATATCAACAATTTATTATCACGTGTAGCGATGGCTAGTCTTTCATCAAACCATTCAAATCTTAACAATAATTGAATGCTATATTCCTGTCATTAAATTCACGAAATAATGTTAACAACTATTAATAATTAATCAATTATTGAAAGAGTTATATGATATAAGTTATATCATATAACTTATACCACTTACAGTCCGGCTTTCATCAATGGAGGCAAAACTGTATAAATATAGACTTGTGTTCACTATTATTGGAACTAAATTTAATATGATGGTACATTTGTTAAAATATATCAATTATACAAATAAATGTTCTATTAATAATACTTTCTGCTTTAGGTTTAACCCATTTATTATATCCCATACTCTGAGAAGTTTTGTTCTCAAACACTTCGATGTCATAACTTTCTATCAATTGTTGACAAAAATTCACGTTAAAACATATAAATGTAATTAAATGTAAAATATATACTAAATTTATAACTAGATTCATTTTACCAATTTTGCACAATTAGATTTACAGTTAAGGATATTAAAATAACTGAAACATTAATATTTCACCAAACATTTTACGTTCATTCTGGATATCAAGAAATGTCTATTGAATTGGTTTAAAGTAAATCTTTTTATCATCAGTAAATTAAGATGTTTTCATTACACATTGTTTTTATACTTATAAGTTATAATGATGCCTAATATTTACTAATATTTTTGGTAATATTTGACAGATTTATTGAGATTCTTACATGTATTTCAAGTAAAAATATCATTTTATTATTTAATAATTAATCCATTATTTACTCGAAGCAATAAATCATTTTTATATACATTCTATTAGTGTAGTATAATTAACATTTGAAATTGATTATGGCCGATAATTTATCTGTTCATTTTTATTATTCTCACTGATATAACTGAATAGTTTTAGTCTACAAATCTATTTACAAATATTGTTTAATTAAATATTAAATAATTACACAACTTATAATTCAGAATTTTTATCTACATCTATACTAAATTATTTAACAATAAATTTAGTGCAAATGGACTTGAATTGAAATAACATTTTAAAAGTCATAAATAATAACAAGTTATATTGTATAAGTAAATACATCTCGCACAAAAAGTGCATTATAAATGATATAAATTTACATAAATCTGCACTGTAACTATTATAATAACAATTTAACCAACAGGACATGAATTGATATCGCATTAGTAGTCAACATAATTATCATGCATGTATATCTTATTAATTTTGAAACGCGACTATTATTTAGGATTTCGACGCCAATATTGAAAGCATTATCAATCAATTGATAAACAAATTATTTTATTGCATTGTTGTAACAGAAAGTGCAAAATGTTACCATTTGTAATATACAGCACTAAAAGTGCACTTAATTTACGATAAATTATGTGAATGGTTGCAGTTTTAATTATATTGTATAACAGACTGTTATTAACAGTTAATAAAAACGTTGTTGAATTTCATTAAAAAAATTTAATTATCATATAACACTAGTCTTACATAAAAGTTGTTACATGTTAGATGAAAATATACTTTAAATGTAAGATCTAATGTACTGTAGATCTACTACACTGTACTCTGGGACCAGTTGTTGGTGATAAGAGGCAGCAATAACTCACGTGCGCCACCACTTTCTTATCTCACCTGAAATTTGATTTTACTGAATACACGCTTACATAAAGTTGGTTACATTGTTAGTTTGTTTTAACCTTGATTTTTAGTCAATTTGTTACAACAGATTATAGATTTATTATTATAGTTTTTAAGTACAGAATATTCGTATAGGAATTCTTTACAAATATCATACAAAATATTATAGTTTTGTACACTGTTTTTGTTTTGTAATAATATTATTGTTAAAAATAATGATTAATATAATTATTAATAGACATAAATATTGATTTGTATTTCACATAATATTAATAATGATAATTAATTATCAGTAAACAGAATATAACTTAACAATTCAGCAAACATTACGCGAGAAAATCATATCCAATATCCAAGAAGTTTTGGCAGTAATAATACTATTAAATCACAGCCGAGTTTTATGTTAATGTTCATTATGTAAGACACCATTAAATTGTCCAGGGTTATAATGTGCACCATTCCATTGGGTATCAGTAAGTTGGGTCCCATTATATTGTTCACTGTTATATTGACCACCATTATACTGATCACCATTATATTGACTACCATTATATTGGTCACCATTATGTTGGGCACCGGTATGTTGGGTATGTTGAACATGTTGGACACTAGGATGTTGTGCAGTGGTGTGCTGTTCATTGTCATCGGCCGGGCAAAATGCACAAAAATGTATGGCAGTCCACTCATCATGAGCGTTCCTAAGATTTTTAATGAGCTCCCGGTGCTCATCATGGGCAACTTTGGTGAGTCGATCGTAATAGGTCAATTCTCGTCTCAAGCGGTTAAACCAGCCCCAGATGTTGGGATAGGAGCTCAGGTCAAACTCGACCGCAATCTCCAAATGAGTGACGTTTGCCAGCAATGATATGTCGGCGATTGTGAGCACATCTCCGGCCACATAATCCTTATTGATTAGAAATATCTCTAAGAATGTGAGCGAATCGGTCAGCTCTACAAATGTGTCGCTCCGGGAAGCGCTGTATTCGTTGGGTAACTGATATGATTGAAATTAATATACTTAATATAACGTACTATGATTTCTATGATGGTTATTATACTGACTGTGAACTCGAAATGGGCAGATATAACGGCATGACTTAAAGTTTTCAGATCGAAATTCAATAGCCTGTCAACAGTTGCCCTCAATTGTGGGTCTTTGGGATACAGTGTAGAGTCGGGCGCGTATTTATTGCACAAGTATTGCATTATCGCACGGCTTTCCCACAGTAGAAATCCATTGTCATCTATGGCTGGAACCGTATGGCAGGGGTTTATCTGTTTGGATATACAACGTGTCAACACATTATACATTTAGTAGTTATATTATCAGTTCATAATTTTAAGTAAACCAGTTATTTTTTAGAGCTAATTGAAGTTATTAAAGTGTAAAGTAGTTATTCCTATTGCCTTGATATAAATATTATAAATAAAATAATTTAAATATAACTAAAACATAAAGTGCGGTATAGTTCCGGATAAATGTCAGAAACATGCAATAAATACAATTATCAGTATATAATTTAATGCAATTAAAATATTATAAATTACTGTTATATGCATTCATAAAGATAATGATTCATTATTAATGAATACATCAATGGATATCATGGTTTGAATAGTTATTTTACAATTTAATCATATTTTCTTATATTTATCGACCATAAAGGTTTAAGATTAAGAATATGTTAAATCTTACTGATATTTTAATATAACTAATAAATATCACCAAGGAACGGCCATGCTAATATTTATCAAATGCAGTACAGTATAAGCTATTGATGTTGTAAATATTAATTTGTAATTAATAATTACAGTAAATTACACTGCGATGTACTGTATAATTAGAGATTTTTAATTTATTGAATATAGAATATAATTAATTAATGCATAAATAAATTCACTTTATTATATTTATATTTTTATAAAATAATTTAATTTATATAGACAAAATCTAACTCGTTAAGACTGGTTAATCTTAAAATCAATTGTTAAAACATAATATTTACTAAAAATTTAAGCATAATTTATTATGCATCAAATTGATTAATAAATAAGTTAATTACACAAACAACACAATTAAAAGATATGATAATGAGATAAAACTACAAAACAATATGAAAACAACAAACTTTTTTATATTCCTCGGTTGTGGTGTCGATGAAAGGCCTGATATAGATCTCACGCATTGGTATATTGAGATGTGTGGCCAACATCTTGACGGCCCGACACCACGGGCTGATCCTAGAGGTATAGAACTTGATATGAGGAGCTTCTTCTTCCTCCACATCCATGTCATATCCATTTCCATTGGTTTCGCCATAATTTCCATTTGCAATCATAAACTCTCCGTTCATTTTCACGTCTTTGTTCACTACTGTATTGATATCTCATGTAATATAAGAAAAACAAAATGAATTTTGGAAATAATGAAATTTTGATTAAAATAGAAAACAAAATGTCTTTTTGTTATCATTTAATAAATATGATATTTTATAAGTGAATGCAATCCTATTGTGAATAAATAGCAAAATCATTGTTAATGTGTTAACCGTTTCCACAGACACTATCTCTATATTTGACAAACTTTTCCACGTCTTCCCTATACTTGTTATCTCACCATTAAATGAACCATTCATTTGACAATCTCTCTCTCTCTCTCTCTCTCTCTCTCTCTTCTCGCAGTGAAAGCAGACAAACCGTACGATACTCTCGACCTCATCGGTCGGTCTATCGATCAAAGCTAACGACTTCTTGTCGAATATCCGAACCCCTGTTCTCTTGTCATCTCTCTCTCTCTCTCTCTCTCTCTCTCTCTCTCTGTACAAATATAAGTAGAATTGTACCAGAATTAACTTAAATTTTAGAAAAACCATATGTTTATCCATTATTTTTATAGAAAGTTTTTTAACTATTGATATATTAAATGTGTAATGCTTATGGACAAATTTTTATAATCTTGGTACTTTTAAAACCACTAACATAATAATTATTGTTATACACAAATTAAAACTAATCTCTAATTACAAAGTACCTAAAAAAATTTAAGACTGGTTCACATTTTATTAGCAGTAAATTATTTCTTATGAAATGGTAAATAATAAATCACCTTGCCATAAATTATATCAAATGTTAAATTTACAGCAAAAAAGTGAACAAAATTAACTAACTAAACAAGCATGGTAAAAATTATTTCTGGTCCCGATATTATAAATACTACACAAATAGTTTGGTTTATTTCAATATAAATAATCTATTAATAATTGATGGTCAAAATGTTGATTAAAATCAAATTAATTAAGCTAAACAATTGATTGATTCACTAATAATTGATTGACAATAATATACATTTGAATGTCACTCAAAAGTGGCGCTTAAAATAAAGCATGGATTTGACGATTGGTGTGCTTTTCATTGAGCGCTTAGGAGCTCAATAATAAACCAGTTATCTGTGCGCTAACAAAGGCGAGAGTTAACACATAAACTCATGGTTAGAGTCGCCTCTCTAGTCAGTCATAAACACTGCTCTTAACGACCAAAAGAGTGAACACTTTCTCTAACATTGAATTGTGTTTTGTATCCAAAATTCAAACCAATCATCAAAACAATGGCTAAACGAAGACAGTCTGCCGTCAGATCCAAGACGCCGAAGAAGTCACGGGTGGAGGACGAAGAGGTGGACGACAACAACAGCGCCGACGAGGCGGCCGATGAGGGCAGCGGTGCCGGCGATGACGACGAAGAGGGCCAGTATGTGGTCGAGTCGGTGGTCGACAAGAGGCGCCGCAACGGTCGCGTCGAGTATCAGATCAAATGGCAGGGATATAGCGATGCGGACAACACTTGGGAACGTATGTCATATCAAGTCATCACTGCATTAGATCCATATTAATGTCTATTTTGTATGTTTTGATCCACAGCTAAGGAAAACCTCGATTGTCAGGTGACTATTTTGAACTATGAATGCGTGTGTCATTTGGTTTGGTATGTGTTTGGCTTATGGTATGTCTTGATTGATAGGAACTGATCGACGAATACGAGGAGATGACAAAGTCGTCGACCCAGAAGTCGTCGTCGGCGTCGAAGAGCGAGTCCAACAAGAAGTCGACTCCGAAGTCGACGGCGAAGTCGCGGCCGACGCGAAAGGGCGCCGATTCGGGTGTCGGCGGACGCGATGTCGTGGGCTTTGCGCGCGGATATGAGGCCGAGAAGATCATTGGTGTTACTGAACTGAGTATATAATTAAAAGCCCTTTTAATCTGATCTCAAAGTCCATCGCTTGAGTCCCAGAGTCTGCGGTTATTTGACAAAAACCTGTTCCCAAAAGATAGGCTCAAAGGGCAGCGCAATATGTGATTCGCCAAACACTTTAAACATATCTCGTGTTTATTGGTTTCATATGATAATTGGTTTAAAAATACATGTACTGTATGTGTAGTGATGACCAAAATTGTCGTATCTGTCAATAGCCTGACCCTAATTACAGAGAGAGAGAGAGAGAGAGAGAGAGAGAGAGAGAGATTCTCTCTCTCTCTATTTGTTGGTCACAAGGGATTCACACAATACGAATAGAGTGATGGAGAGAGAGAGAGAGAGAGAGAGAGAGAGAGGGAGAGAGAGAGAGAGAGAAAGTCAAGTATTTTCTGATAGGGTTTAACTAGTTGTTTGGGTATCAATGATAACTGTCCAGTGATTGAAATATACTTTTGCAGTACAGTATAGTCGCAGACATTATATATTGATCTTAAATACATGCGATTTTCCAAATGCAAAGACACAACACAACTGTGCCATTCAGTGTACATACCAGTGCCTAACAACACACATACAGTACATACGAGTGTGCCTTATCTGACAGCCCAATCCCCATCGGGTGTACACACAAAATGCAATTTGTATTTTAAATGGTATTTGTGGTGCAGATGTTGCTCACAATCACTTCCCTATCATTCCTCCTCTTCATCAACAAAAACACACAACAAATCGAGAGAAAGAGAGAGAGAGAGAGAGAGAGTGGGCCATCACATGCCTGTCTCTAATCAGCCTTTTTATACGAAGCGAAGGCTACTATAGCTATGGGTAGAGGAATGGTTCCACTAAACACATAAGTTTGTTGACAAAATAGTTGTTGTTTAGTTGTTTAGCACATTATTTGATACGAAACTTATTAAAAATGATTTTAAATTAAGTAATAATAGAAAAGATAGCTATTAATGGAAACTTGTAGTCCACCCACTCTTGCCATACACTTGGCATTCATTTCCACTTTTGGTTGTTTTCATTCAATGTCTCAATAATTTCCTAAACATTTTATTTGTCTTTTTTTTAATGGAAAAGTTTTATGCGTTTAGTCTATTATAAAATATGCCGTCAAATGAATAGTATTTAACATTAATTAATTACTTTATAAAACAAGTGTTTAGTTATTCAATACGTAATGCGAAACAACTTTGTTTTTTAAACTTAAAATATGATATTTTCAATCAGTAACACAAGTGTGTTGTGATATTTTAGTTTACAAATACAATTCATAACCCAATTGATAGTCAATTGATTAAATGGTATGTATTTTATTAATATTTTTTGTTAAAACTTAATATTCAATGAGTGAAACAATTTTTGCTAAATTATTGGTATTTAAGGGAAATGTTTGTCTGATTTATGTCACTAACTTACTTTATTGCCCAAAAAACAAGTGATAAAGGAGTAAACTACCTGAAACTCTCTCCTAACACAATACATAACGACACTTACATAACTAACAACCTAACTTAATAGGCAAACTAATCTACCAGACCTCCTATATCTGGTTCAATGGCAGGGAGGGGTCGACGCCGATTTAGTTCCGGCCAACATTGCTAACCATAAGTGTCCGCAAATTGTCATTCAATTCTTTCAGGAGAAGATCCGTTTCAACAAAAAGCGTTGATTTGAATGACATTTGTTTTGCCATCATATTTGTCGAGAATCTAATATTGAATACTTTGTTTGTGTCAATCATTTTATATTATTCACAATCACTTTAAATCATTTAATTCCGTGTATTATTTATTTCTTTATATCTGTTGTGAAATTTTGCTTTTCTTTGTTTTTTCCATTTAATTGTTTAAAAGTTTAAATATTCTTTCATTTCTTATCCCTTTTCTGTTTGATTTTCTTTCTTTATATTGTAAAAAATATTATTTTTATTTTTCAAACGCTAAAGAAAGTATATTTTTAACTAACTAAAGGAATAAATATTTGTAACTACAAATGAGGTACACAAATTAGATAAAAAGACTGTGATTAAGTGAACTTTATATTTATAACATTGAAATACGAGTTCATTACTCCTTTCACTCATTAATAAAGTTTTTTCAATCCATTTTGAAGTCCTCTAAACCAATGTTTGGTCGCAATTCCCGACAAATTATTGTTCTGTTAATTAATTATGAACCTTATTTTCAAACTGTACAATAGGTACACTTCGATTAAATACTACCGTATTATTTTGCTGTAAAACCTGTGGGGTGTTCTGTCAGGGGTCTCTGACTCGGGTAGGTTTCCAATTAGCAAAGGGTGCTACCTAGGTAGTACCCCAACCCCTCTAACTAAGAAACTAATATAACACCCCATAATATCCTTTGAGTACACTATTTATGCTTTTAAGTGGAAAAACATTTCCAACAAAATTTAACAGTTAGTGCAAAAGGATTGTTGTATTTTTTTTTAATCACAACAAAGTTATTAAAACTTACAATTTATCAATTATATACAAGTAGTAGTTTTTTTTACAATTTTTTACATGTTTTATACAAATTATTCTAAATATAAACGTCCCCGATGAACTTATTAAGCGTTATATTTATTTTTGGATCTTTAAGCTTAATAAATAGAAACGAATAAACAGTAATTAATAATTATCAATATTATACTACTGTAATTACAATTATCCTAAGGATTATATTATAAGTAAACGCTAATAAAACATCCTGGTAATTGACTTTTAATATCTTGATAATAATATGAAGAAAATTAGGTGCGGTGTGAAATGTGCTA